TTAACAATAATTGCTAATAAAGAAATCATATACTTATATTTAATCATATATAAACTCATTTGAATTAAATAATACTTACATTTAACTAATAATATCATCCACAATTTAACTAATTTACGTAATTTTAATTAAACACAACTTAATTAACCCTTGTTTAAATTACACCTACGTTTAACGTAACTAAATTTAAGGAATTTATTTCGTTAATTAATTAAGTATTTAATTTAATTACTTAATGCATTTAAATGCATTTAATTTAAATTTAACTAATAATATTTACAAAAGTTTAATTAGCCAATGTAGCTAATTAATTAATTTAACTTAATGTGTCACTACGATTAAACTTACGTTTAAGTAACTTATTTTTCACTAAATTAAATGAAATTGACATATATATAATTCGTTACATAGCTTATAATTAATAATCTCTCTAGTTTATTACACTTAAAATGAACCAACTAATTCATACAAAAAATACGTAATTCAAATTACATACCTTATCTGCATAAATAGGAAAAATGATATGAGATGGGTAGATTACATCCTTCAATTCTATGTGGAATTCTATCTGGAATAGATGGTGTGATTTAATTGAATGAAGCGGAGGCTGCATATATAAAACTTGTAGTCACGAACGTAGTCACGGATGTGTCCGTGACTACATATTTTTGTACGATTTGTCGGTGCACTTTAAATTTGGAACGTTGAAAAAATTAACTTTGCACTTGTCACGGAGTTAGTCACGGATACATCCGTGACTAAAGTTAGTCACGGAACTAGTCACGGATGGTTCCGTGACTAATTTCAAATTAAAAAAAACCCCAACGGAGGCAAAATATGGTTGGCCGGAACAGGTTAGTCACGAACTACATCCGTGACTAACCATAGGCACGGACGTAGTCACGGACAAATCCGTGACTATTGTTTTTTAAACAATCCGTGACTAAACCATGACTAACTAGTCACGGACCAAATCCGTGACTACGGTCCGTGACTACAAGCGAATTTTTTTGTAGTGAAGAAGTTTAATCTTTTAATTCAATATTTAAAAAGATCTGAAATGTCTCGTTTATCTAAAAATGAAAAAGTATGTTCTTAATAATGTACTCTTTTAGAGATAACCAGACCTGATTCTAATATAGACGAAGTAATATATAAATCCATGAGGCAGATCCGGAGAGATCCGAAGTAATATACAGAGTGATTAAGAGCACATTTGATTTTTCAACTTATTAGCCTTATCAACAGACTTTAATACGAAGTATATAATTTTGATTTCGTGCACCAAGTTCAACTTATAATAATCAAAATAAATAAGATTTAAGTTACTTTTCTAATTGAATTGGTTAAACTTATTGTAGATGGTTAATTTAGTTATTTTTTCACATAGTTTTTTCTTTTTTTATTAAGAACTTTTTTTTATAATTCAGCAAAATGAGCACATCTAGCTACTTTAACAAGACTTCATAAATTTCAACAAAATCAACCGATTAAGTTAATTTCAATGTTACCAAATGAGCTCTAGGAACACAACAATAATTATTCGGTACTTTAAGTGACTGCATGAAATAAATAAGAACTACAAATGGCCTTAGATGTGGTGAACGGATTAATAAACGAGTATTAAGTAAGTGCTATAAATTGGGCACTATTCACAATTGGTGGGAACTTTCAAGTCTTCATTTTGGATGGAGCCTAGACCCAAATCTTAGTTTAATTATTGTCCTTTATAGTTTACTAGTGTGTACCCATGCACCGCATGGTAAGATATATGTTTGAAATTTTTCTTAATTTATAGGGCCTATGTATTGTATATGAATTCGTCAATTGAAGTAATAGGAATAGGCCCATTAGGCTAATAATGATAAGAACAAGGCCCATTAGGCTATTAATAGAAAGAATAACAAAGAGTGTAGTATTGTAGTATAAATAGAATAAGGAAGGAGAAGGACGGGTAGGCTGTTAGATCTCTGGACTGGACTGGGAAGATTAGAGAAATAGTTTCTCTTCTCTTTGGGACTTGTTGTACGGTGAACCTCCATTAATGAAGTTTTATTGTTTCTGAAGCTCGTTTTACAGATAATTACTATTATATATCTGCGCCACTCTAACATTGGTATCAGAGCAAACGTCGATCGCTGGATGATCTTGATGCGTGCTAAGATGGAAGGATGCATGACAGAGATTGAACAGAATCAACGGGAGATGCAAGCCAGTATGGAAAAGAATCTGAGAGAGATGCAACACAATATGACGGTGAATTTGGCAGAAAGTATGGCGGCGATGCAAGCTTCCATGCAGGCAACGATGCAAGCTAATATGGCAGAATTACAGAACAAAATATCAGCTCGATCGAGGAGTCACTCACAGCGATCGAGCACTTCACATCGCACATCGCATCACCGAAGTTCAAGGAACGATGATAGTTCGGAAGGTTCGGACGGTTCCTCTCATCCTTCTGCATCGCGACATGATCGCGAACATCACCGAAGTTCCAGGTATCATAATCCGGCAGGTCGGAAGATTGATTTACCAATTTTTAATGGAGATGACACATTTGGACGGTTAGTAAGGATGATGTGAACAAGTATTATTATTATATTTCATATACTCCCTCCAGTTTTGAAAGATGTTTACACTTTGACTTCACAAATATTAAGAAATTTGACACTGTTTGGTACTGTTTGACACTGTTTGGTACTGTTTTTGTGTAGATTTGTAAGACAAATAAGAAGTGTAAAGATCTTTCTGGTGCTTCCAAAAATGGAAAGTGTAAAGATCTTTCAGAACCGGAGGGAGTACTTGATATCAAATGCTATACAAGAAGCTATATTTATAGCTATATTTTGAGCACTAGGGTTCCATATACAAACATATACAAAATGGGTTAAGCCCAACTCTACTAGGGTTTCCACACACCCCCTTAAGCTGGAGCATATAAATCATATGTACCAAGCTTGTTACATATATATATCCCACTCTAGGACCTCTAAGAGAGATTTAGTTAGAATATCTGCAAGTTGTTCGATTGTGTTGACATAATTTGTGATGATATGTCCGTTCGCGATCTTCTCTCGGATAAAATGACAATCAACTTCAATATGCTTAGTCCTCTCATGATATACCGGATTTGATGCAATGTGCATTGCGGCTTGGTTGTCACACATGAGTTGGATTGGTTTTGTGTTTCCATATTTTAACTCTCGGAGAAGATGCTTCAACAATAAGATTTCACATGTCGCAAGAGCCATTGCACGATATTCTGCTTCAGCACTAGATCTGGCAACCACATCCTGTTTCTTACTTTTCCATGAGATTAATTTTCCACCAATCAAAATGCAATATCCTGATGTGGAACGTCTATCCATCGGACATCCAGCCCAGTCTGCATCACAGTATCCTACAATATCATGGTGGTCTCGGTCTTCGAACAACAATCTTTGCCCAGGTGTTTTCTTGATGTATCTCAAAACTTGAATAGCTGCATCCCAATGTCCACTACATGGCTTATCAATAAACAGCCTAAGAACACTTACCGCAAATGAAATATCTGGCCTCGTGATGGTAAGATAATTCAATTTGCCAATCAGCTTTCTATACTTTTCCCTGTTGGGCAAAAGATCTCCCTGTTCGGACAAGAATTTGACGTTTGGATCCATGGGTGTATCCACTCGCCTGCACTCTAGCATACTTGTTTCCACAAGAATATCCAATGCATATTTTCTTTGTGAAATGGCAATTCCATTTTGAGACTGTGCAACCTCAATGCCAAGAAAATATTTCAACTTTCCCAAGTCTTTTGTTTGGAATTTGCTAAAGAGATATTGCTTTAGGAGTGCAATTCCTTGTTCATCGCTACCTGTAATGACAATGTCATCAACATATACAACAAGATAAATACATTTGTTGCCTGCAGAATGTCTATAAAATATAGAATGGTTGACATCACTGCAAATCATGCCAAAATCGCAGATAACGGCACTAAACCTCCCAAACCCAAACCATGCACGTGGTGATTGCTTCAAGCCATATAAAGCACGACGTAATCTGCATACCAAACCAGACCCCTCCCCCCGAGCAACAAAACCAGGTGGTTGCTCCATATAAACATCCTCGTGCAAATTACCATGAAGAAATGCATTTTTAATATCCAATTAGAATAATGGCCAGTGGGCCATTGCTGCCATGGATAAAATCAAACGAATCGATGCAATCTTCGCTACAGGAGAAAAAGTGTCAGAGTAATCCAAACATAAATCTGAGTATACCCTTTTGCCACAAGGCGTGCTTTAAAACGACCAACTTGCCCATCAGGACCAACTTTAACGGTGTAGATCCAATGACACCCAACTACTGATTTGCCAGGGGGGATGTGGAACTAATTCCCATGTCCCACTAGAATGAAGAGCCTCCATCTCAGCCAACATGGCTTTACGCCATTCTGGATGTGCCAATGCCTCATGTGTTGTTTTAGGGATGGGTATATGAGACAAGTGTGAAATGAAAGCAAAGTAAGGGGTAGAGAGGCGGTGGTAACTCAAAAAGTTATAAATGGGATGTTGATTCAAAGTAGAACGCATACCTTTTCGGAGGGCAATGGGAAAATCATCCGGGGTGTTTTCAGGTGGTGCGGTAGTTGTTGGTGATGATCCTAAAACTGTCATAGGGGAATCAACTGGCGTGGCCACGATAGGCTCAATGGGAGGAGGTCGAGGACGACGATGGTATACGACTTGTAATGGAGGAGGGTCTACCACAGGAGAGCAGTGGGGGTGGTCATCAGATGGAGGGGAAATAATAGTTTCTGGATGGATGGGCCGGAGATATGAGATGAAGTCCGAACATGATGGAATATCAGCAGCAGATAATGGGTAATAAAAAGAGGACTCGATAAAAGTGACATCAGCCGAAATAAAATGCTTCTTAAGTAATGGAGAATAACAACGATAACCCTTTTGGACTCGTGAATATCCAAGAAAAATGCATTTTATTGACCTAGCTGACATTTTAGATAACCCAGGTGTAAAATCATGGACAAAACACACACACCCAAACACATGAGGTGGTAATGGAAATAACTCATAACTAGGAAACAAGACAGAATGAGGAACTTCATTATGAATAACTAAGGAAGACATTCTATTTATTAAATAACACGCGGTGAGTACATCGTCTGCCCAATACTGAGGTGGTGTATGTGAATGTAATAACAGAGTACATGCAGTATCAACTAAGTGTCCGTTCTTGCGTTCAGCTACCCCATTTTGTTGAGGCGTGTGTACACAAGAAGAATGATGAAGCATACCCCGTGATGTCATGAAGTGATTAAAGGGTACCGCAAAAAATTCTTTAGCATTATCACTACATAAAATTTTGATAGAATGACCAAACTGAGTGTGGATTTCGGCACAAAAAGTTTGAAAGATATGGAATAATTCAAAACGTTCTTTCATTAAAAACAACCATGTGTAACGGGAAAAGTCGTCCACAAAAATAACAAAATAGCGAAATCCTAAAGTAGAACTGACTCGATACGGACCCCATACATCTGCATGAACTAAATAAAAAAGGGACGCATCTCGTTTATTAACACGCCTTGGAAAGGATTGATGAGGTTGCTTTCCAAGGTGACATGACTCACAATCTAAAGACGAAAGACTTGAGAAACCTGGAACCATACGTTGGAACTTTGAGAGGCTAGGATGACCCAAACGGTTATATAACGTTAATGCAGGTTCAACGGAGACACAAGCAATTGGATCAACAAGAGGAAGATGATACAAGCCTTGAGATTCATGCCCGACGCCAATCATCTTCCTCGTACGATGGTCCTGCACAATTACAGAATCAGCAAAAAAGGTTATGGAATAATCAAGAGCACGCATGATTTTACTAACAGAGACAAGGTTGAAGGAGCTATTAGGAACATATAAGACTGAATGTAATGGTAAGGATGCAAGTGGAAATGCTTGCCCAATACCCGTGGCCGAAGTTTGATGGCCATTAGCTAGAGTAATTAAAGGAAGATGTTGGTGCTTGGTAATATGGGACAAAAGATGGGGATTACCAGAAATATGGTCTGAAGCACCCGAGTCAATGATCCATGAACCTGTGATGTTTGAAACACAAGCGGTAGGCGTACCAGGCGCAGATAAAGGCACATTAGCCAACTTAAATTTCTGATATGCGGCATATTCGGCTGGAGATAAAACAACCGGAGATGGCGGAATCTGAGCAACAGTGGCTGAGCTAGGAGGCCTCCCGTGTAACTTCCAACATCTATCTTTAGTATGACCAATCTTATGACAGTAGTCACACTTAGGTCGGCTTTGACGCAAATATCCTTTGTTGTTTCCTCCGTCGGGCCCCACACCATGAGATGCAAGAATGGTAGAATCAGTAGAACCCAATTGAGCAGATATCGGGGCCGCACGAAGAATTCGAGAAAAAGCCTCTGTCATAGTTAGAACATTAGAACTAGAGAGAATTTGTTCATGTATAGATCACAGCTCTGGGCGAAGACCCTCCAAAGCTAAAACCATAACAAGTTGTTGTCGTTGCTCTAGTTGTTTCTCTCTATCTTTCGTGATGGGTTGAATGGTATTATACTCAAAGAGTAAAGCCTCAGCCCGACCTAGAAAATCCTGGATGTCCGATTCTTGTTGCTTGAGCATGGCAATTTTGGATCTGAAAGAAAACATGCTTTGAATATCATTAGTGTAATTAGACTTGTCTTTCTCCCAAATCTGTTTACACGTCCGATATGATTGATATGTAAGATGAAGTCTGGAGTCCATGGATTGCCACAAAACATTGCACAACTACGCATCCATATTTTCCCATTCCATTTTCTTATCCTTGACTGAATTGGCATCCGTAAGCAAGTGATCAATTTGTCCTTGACCTTTGAACCACATCTCCACAGAAATGGCCCATGATTGATAATTAGCACTTCCAACCAAACAGTTCGTTGTAATAACAGGAACCAAAGCAAATGAAGAAAAACCAGAAGACATTTTTTAAATTTTTTTAAATTTTTTTTAACGTAAAGAGAAAAGTAAATATGAGTAAATTAAAATTACTGCTGCAAGGAAATAATATACCAAAAAGGATCTGTGAATAAAATAATGCAGCAGTAGCAAACCAGCAAGCAAACTAGCGGAAGAAACTGTCTGGTGTTTGTTGAGCGACCAGAGCAGGGGTGTGTGTTGGTAGCAGGGGTGAGCGACCAGAGCAGCGGCGAGCGGACAGAGAGACGGTGACAACCGATCTGGGCGGCGCGTGGGTTCGGCGGCGGCGCGTGAGCTGTCCGATGAGTGGCCGATTTATGATGTTTTGGTCGCCAGGAGTCACAGATCTTCAATATGTCGTCTGTGTGAGCTGAAGATGAGTAAATTGAGAGAGATCTGTAAACAAAGGTGATGAACCTGGCAGTCGGCGGCGGCGCGTGGCAGTGTGTGGAGGGTGCATCGGAGGTGTAGTTTCAGACGTGAGGTTGGGATGGTGTACTGAGGATGGCGGTAGGTGTGGTTGGATATATCACTACCGGAAATTGCTCAAACACAAAAGGCTTCTACTGTTCACGGCGGACTTTCTCGCCGGAATTTAGGAACACAAGACATATATGGGTCTGATACCATGTGAACAAGTATTATTATTATATTTCATATACTTGATATCAAATGCTATACAAGAAGTTATATTTATAGCTATATTTTGAGCACTAGGGTTCCATATACAAACATATACAAAATGGGCTAAGCCCAACTCTACTAGGGTTTCCACAGATGAATAGGTATTTTTGTTTGAACAATACTGAGGAGGTACACAAGATTGATGTGGCAGTGGTAGTGATGGAGGATCAAGCCTTGAGTTGGTTTCAATGGTGGGAAGGCCAAGCTCACCATCAGAACTGAGAGAGTTTCACAAGAGATTTGACAAAACGCTTTCAACAGGACTTGGTGCAAAATCCACTGGGGTCTTTGTTTAGTCTGAAACAGAAGGGAACAGTAAAAGATTTCAGGGACAAATTTGAAGTTGCCATAGCTTTACAGGGACACTTGACTGAAGAGGTACTGAGAAGAGTGTTTCTAAACGGAATAAAACGTGACATAAGGGCTGAGCTAAAATTGTATCCTACAAGAACACTAACTGAAATCATGGATACAACTTCACTGATGGAAAACAAGAATAACGAAGCATCAATCATGAAGAGTAAAGATGATGTAAAAAAGAAATGGCCAGGGAAATCTAACAATGATCAGCAGTTTCAAAACTGGAATGATGGGGATAAATGGAAGAGTATTCCAAACACTTCTACAATTTTTGGTAAGGGAGCCAATGAGAGTAAACCTTTTGATGAGATGATTCCACCTAATCAGAAAAGGAATAGTCCTAGATTGTCTCAAAGTGAACTGCAAGAAAGAAGTAGGAAGGGATTGTGCTTTAAATGTGGAGAAAACTGGAATAGGGGACATGTATGTAAAATGAAGAACTACAAGATGATATTGGTAGAAAATATTGAAGGTGAAAATGAATCTGGAGAGGAGTTTATAGAATCTGAAGAGGAAAAAGATGCACATCAACAACTTAAAACTATGCAGTTGTCAGTTTTGAGTAAAGAAGGCAATGCTTCCATGAAAACTTTCAAGATGAGAGGAATTTTGAAGTGGACAGATGGTGAGAAGGTTGTAAATATTCTGATTGACTGTGGTGCTACCCACAATTTCATAGCACAGAGTTTGATTGATAGGTGGAAACTTCCTTTTACCCCTATTCAAGGGTTCAAGGTACAGATTGGAAATGGGGATTTCATTCCTAATAAAGGGAAGTGTACTGGAATGCAATTAGAGATACATGGGACTATGATTCAGCAAACTTATTACATGTTGGAGCTTGGTGGGACTGATATGGTTTTGGGGTTGGAGTTGTTAACTGAACTGGAAGAAACAAGGACAGATTTATATGATTAAGAGGGAAACAACCTTGAACAATATGGAGGTTTCACTGAAAACTAGGGCTCACAATTTACAGCAAAATGGGGATGGCTTCTTGCTTTAATTCATTCTTACTTTATTTCCACTTTATCAACTCATTACCAACCACATAATTCTACTTTTCTTAAAAACCACACCACACCCTTCCGTACCAATATTAGGGGGACGGAGGGAGTATTACATATATGATATATGTGCTACTCTAACATGAAGTTTAAAACAGAACTCAATTGACTACATATATAGGTGTTAAAATGAGTCGAACTCCATCAGGCTCGCTCGTTTCATGGTGAAATGTATTTTAATGACCTGATTAACTCATTGGTTTAGTGGATCAACATGCACAAGTTGTGGGTTGACTATACAACTTGCGATTTGGTCAAAGTATAAATATCAAGTTTTGACTTTCACTATCTTAATTATTGTTTGTTTACAACGAAAGTTATTTGCTATTATATACTTCGTACTTATTATTTAACAGCAACCTTGTTGAACTACTATTTTCTATAATAATTATTCAATTAAATTAATCCTGCATATTTTTAATTTTGTAGTTGAAAATAATTTTTTAACAGTTAGTAGTCATCGAGTTCCTTTGCTGAATGCCATCTAATAGTTATCAAATATTGGTATAACTGTGATTTAATAATATATTTTTTAATTAAACTTATCAACTATGGTGTGCTTAGTATTATAACTTCATATATTTCCTTTTAGGGAGAACTATCAAATAAGCCCTCGAGCTTTCATAAAAAGTGCAAATAAGCCCTTTTACAGGAGGCTTTGTCCGGCTATCGCCATTTAGGGCGGATTCCAGTGGAATTGTTTGATGAATTTTTTTGAGCATCTTTGTCATTAAGTCTAGTTTACTCATACCAAATTTCAGCTAAAAATTCAATTTAGAAGGCATTCAAATGATTTTCTGAAATATACTGCGCTGCCTAACTGCGCAGTTATCTTCAAAAATTCATTTGACTACCTTCGCGATTGAACTTTTAGCTGAAATTTGGTGTGAGTAAACTAGACTTAATAAAGAAGAGGTTTTTATTAAACTAAACTAGACTTAAAAAATGCCATCAAAAAGTTCTAGCGGAAACCTCCCCAAATGGCGATAGCCGGACAGAGCCTCCTATAAAAGGGCTTATTTGCACTTTTTATGAAAGTTCAAGGGCTTATTTGATAGTTCTCCCTTCCTTTTATTACTACTTACACACATAGGAGTTTTTAAGAGGTTTTTAATAATGTATTACTATTATATAGTAATATAATATATTGACATCAATTAGTAAAATACAATGAGTAAGAAAGAATATACAGATTCACCATTTTTTCTATAGTCCTTTTAGTTCTCTTTTATTCAGATTGTTTGAGTAGTGAGGCATGTTGTTTCAAAGTAACTTTTAGATTTTTTTATTACATTATTTCAGTATAAGTATTTAGAATGATATTTATAATTTTTTACATTAATGTGAGATCTTGATTTTACATTTGGAACCGGAACCTCCAAATTCATTAGACGGCTTTTTCTTACTCCAAATTCATTAGACGGCTTTTTCTTACTCATACACACACATACTACCTATATAATTTGGACCATATGATAACTTGATCTAAGTGCTAAGTTAATTTTTTATTTATTATTCTCAACACTGCTTATAGTCACTTCATGCGTCGCACATAAGTGAATATTCAATGATGAGAATAATAATGGTCACAAAGGGATCTGATGAAAAACATACTTAATGATCTTACCTGGTTTTGCACACCATTTACTTCAATGGAAGCATGAAGCCACACATAACCTGTTTTCCAAAAGACATTTATTTCAATAAAAAATAAAACTGTCCAAACTTCGAATTCAATTATCCATAAGATTCTCTAGGTATAACTACTATCTCAAACTCCAATAAACAAAATGGTTCTGCTCATGTGGAGGCAACACAGTTCAGCTTACTCGTGGCCGTCGGGGGGGACCGTACATTGGATAAGCGGCATAAGGGGTAGAAGTGTACATGCTGGGGTCAGGGCGTACTGCAGGGAAACCATAACCATAACCATATCCGTAACCTCCTCCGTAGAAGTGTCCCCCGTAGTATGGACTAGTCCATGGGTTATTGACGAAATCAGGTCTTGATTGTCTACTCACTGGATTTCGTCCCCAAGAAAGGCGAACTGTCCGCTTCCCGATCACGAGATCTCTCGTCTTCTCTAGGGCTTCTACAGCGTCATTTCTGCCAAAAACTATGTGTTACTAAAATAACTTCAAACCCAAAAAAGAGATAGATAGTTAATGCAGTTCCATAAATGAGACATGAAAATATGTAAACCACCTATTAGCAAATTGCACAAATCCACATCCTTTCCCAGCTGGAATTTTCACAGAAACTACTTCACCATACTGCAAGAAAGGCTGCCTAAGATCTTCATCGCCAACATTTGGGTCAAGACCTCCCACAAATATCTGAGTGGGAAAACCATTAGCCAAAGAAGCATATGTAGGTTAGTGATAACCAAAAATAAAGAAAGCAGGGTTTGATCACAAACTGTTGTATTAGTAGTATCTTCATCAGATTGTGATCCGCGGGCTGGAGAACCATTTTCATATCCACCTACCACAGCAATTTCAAACAGTGAGTGATCTATTACAACATCATTTTACATTTGATATTAAAACTAGGTAAAAGAGACAAGTTCTCAACAAATGTATACGCATGACGTTTTTTATAACACAACATACATACTTGTTATAACTACACTGAACGCAATTCACTACCACACGTGCGCAATCAGTGCATTATTTGTGCTACATGTGGGATGCCTATTAATATCTTGACTTTAACTTGAACTTTATTAAATATGGGGAAAAACTTGAAAAATTGAAACTGCATGACTTGATCTTGAACACACAAATTCACTAAACTTCACTAGAATCTTGAAACTGCATATATACCTATGCTGAACACAATTCACTACAATACGTGAATAATTACGTGTGCAATCAGTGCATTATCTGTGCTACATGTAGGAGGCCTACTAATATCTTGACTTTAACTTAGAACTTGATTAAATATGAAAAAAAACTTGAAATCTTGAAACTGCATATGGCTTGAGCTTGAACACACAAATTCACTACAGCACGTGTACAATCAGTGCATTATCTGTGCTACATGTAGGATGCCTACTAATATCTTGACTTTTAACTTGAACTTGATTAAATATGAAAAAAAATCTTGAAATCTTGAGACTGCATATAGATTGATCTTGAATTTAGACTTGTAACTTGAAGTTTGATTGGAGTATGAATCAACTTGAAATTGAGTTTTCACTTGAAACTTGAGACATTCAACTGATTGCACCAGATAAGGTTATGCTACAAATGGGCCAATGGCAGTGCATCATAAGGACAAAATTGAGGGAGTGAATGTGGTGTTACACAGTTACATGATGAAAGGACTCATGACTAGAGATGTTAATATGGGCCAGATCAGTCTCAGCACTAACATGCAATAATCTAATACAGAGTAATAACCAAGTAATAATATATGCTTTGACATCTCGATCTTCCCACCATTTATGTCATTAACACAACAAAACACCCCAGCGATCTAAATATCTAATGAGCAATCAAGTGGTCAGGCTCTTTCTTATGAGTTCATATTCTCCAAATGTCACATTTGAACATCCTCTTAGAAGACATTGGTGTGACCACTATGAAATCAATGATTTCCTGCTCATCTAGCCAAGAATATCAAAGGCATCATATATTTGGGTTTTGGACTTTTGGTGTAAACAAGTGGATGAGCTCATGAGCTAACAAGCTTTGGGCTAACTGCTCCAGGATTCCTGAATTCCTAAAATGTTTATCTATATAATCTAAAAAATTGCACACAAACATCTAAAAATTCCCTAAAATCCAGTCCAACCCCGTCCTAGGCAGGCCTAGGGCCAGGCTAGAATTGTTTGATGTTAGAAGCACGTACACATTCCTTAGAAATCAAGAATCGAAGACTTCAATGAGGAAGATAATTTATTTTTTACGCTGAATGCGCCGCCACCGGACACTACTTATGCAGCTAACTGTAGAAGAGATATATTGATAAAGTGAAAATAAAATGTATGGCTTCACCAGTTTGAACCTAATGATTTGGAGATAGATGATGATGATTAAAAGTGCAGCATAAAAACGACATTCTGGAGGATAGAGTTATAGACATGTACCCATCCACAGTTCAATTGACTGTTGTAATTCTAGGTCATAGCTGTTGCTCCCAAGAGAGATCACCCTTTAATAAATATTGAGGGTAGGAAGAAGAAGAAAATAGGAGTTTTGGTTTGAACTGAGATATGTGTTTTTCACCTACTAAATTCTTAAAGAAAAAGAAACTAAGTGATGACAAAAAGAACAAATATTATGAAACATGAAAGCAAAAAAAAAAAAAGAGGAAGAAGAAGAAAATGAGGAGAGGAGGAGGAGGAAGAAGAAGATCCGCCTTATTTATATATCAAGCAATGAGAGAGTCAAGTCGATCATGCATTAATAGGTAATGAAAATTTTCCAAATGGAGAAGTAAAGTGGCCAATTGGAGAAGATACAAGAATTACCTATTCGACTTTTAAGGCAACACTGAGATATTAGATACTATTGGAATCCTATAGTTTATTTAATAGTGTTTTTATGAAGTTTTTGTGCAACTCTTTAAGCATGTGGAGAGTTTCTAAAAAGTAACGAACAAGTACTCCCACTGCCCCTATCGCCTTTAATGTGATAAATTAATCAAATATGTTAATACTTTTCCTAACATGCCTTCATTAAAAGGCACCCTCTCATTTATCTTCATATTAGGAGAAAGGGTAAATTGAATAGCATACGAAAGGTTTATTGGGAAAAAACACTTGATGTGCATAGCTTTCATTATGGAGAGATAAAAAAGGACAAGGAAAATTGGTTAACATAGACAAATAAATAATAACTGAAAGGGGGAGTAACACAGCCACCGCCAACAATAATAACAGTACGCATCGTACCTTGCGGAACACGTTGCAGTTGATAACCAGATGATTTTCGAGGAGTGGCTGCAGCAATTCGCATTGGCCTGCTTGAACAATACGCACCGTTCATTTCGGTCATGGCATGTGACCTCTCACTATCATCCCCAAACCTTACAAAACCATAACCTTTGGAACGACCAGTATGGGCATCAATCACCACTTTAGCAGCTTTAACAGAGGGGTATTTACTAGAAAATGTATCAAGTAGTAAGGTATCAGTAACATCAGCAGCTAAATCTCCTACAAATATGGAAAGATCGGGCACACTGTTTGAATGCTTTTCTCCGGTGCTGCACGTAGCCCAATTCAAACGGAAAAGTTGGTCTGTGTTAGGCATCACAATGCAGCTATATGCTTGCAAGACTTTCTCTGCAGCAGCATGAGAAAGGAATTCTATAAAACCATATCCCTCTGATAAACCTGTCTGTTTGTTTCTGATGACTTTTAAAGAGGCAACCTGTGTATAGGAAATTACTTGAGAAAGGATTGTATTTGCAAGAGATTAAAAAGAATATGATCATCCATTAGCCATTCTTTTTTTGGATTATTAACTAAATATATCATCAACTGTCATCAAATTCACAAATTTATCCCATACTTTCACTTTTATTAAAAAAAGTCTCAAACTTCAACTTTTCTCACAATTACACTTTCAATGGATGAATCAGTAAAACTTAAGCAGAAAGTCATACTTATATTTCATATTTTTTCACTTCTTTGTAGTTTTAAGCTTACAAAGTTGCATTGCTTGATGCTTATATCTTATTGGTATTGATAAAAATTTGTAATTTTGAAAAAACAAAAAAGAAAAGCATAATTGTTTAAAAGGATGAAGTTTGAGTCTTTTTTTAATAAAAGTGAAAGAATAGGATAGATTTGTGAATTTGATGATAGTTTGGGATAAAATAAACTAATAATCCTTCTTTTTTCTATTCTCAACAGATCAAAAATAAAAAAGGGAAAGTTTCAGAGGTAACGCCTAATGAAATCTCACCGGGTAATTGCCTAAAAAATTCCCACGGTATTTATACTCATAACAGGGCTATTTTAAGAAACATGCATAGCAGAGGTCTCACCGGGTTACCAGAACAACAGCCTTATCATGCTAGATTCCTTTTTTTAATGTTCTTATTAAACTATAACTACTATACTCTTATGCTGTTTGAGGTCTGCCAGCTTAAACAATATTTTACTTGGTGTTTTCTTTGTAATGACTACATATGCATTAAAGAAATTGTTTTTGCTTGTTTTATAGGACACAAATGATTCTTTAGCTTAGTACTGTACACAATAACCAATGCCATTGAGCTTCTAATAGAAATTAGATATAATTATCATACTCCCCTCACCAAAATAATTCAACGCACACTATAGTTTTCTTTTTGAGAAAAAGAATATAACTTTATGAGATTAAATATTACATTTATCTCCACATAGCTCTATATTTTTTTAACTTCCTAAACACAACAACTACAGGATATCAGTTAAAAAAATTCAGACATTACTATCAGAGTTATTAATTAATTAACACTTAGATTCAACTCAAGCATTACTAATTAACATACATGGATTTAGGAATTAAAACATTTAATTGCTCTGTAACAGTCCAACATAAGAACCTTTATAACTAACAGAATGATTAAAAATCTATAAGAGTCAAGAAAGTGAAAATTACAGTTATACCTCTCGGTTAGAAGCGAAGCAGCTGCGGAGGTAATCCTCGTCCATCCAATGGTGGAGATCACCAACCCAGATCGTTCTGTTTTCGCTATTGGATCCTCCCGTTTGTCGCGCCGGAGAGAATGGCTGGTGGTGGTGATCTTGGTAGAACGGCATGTAATGAGCTGGGTAAGGTGGCGGAATGAAGTGGTGGGGCTGCATTATCATAGAAGGCGGCGGATACTGCATCGGCACCCACGGAACTGCCCCCGCCGCGGCTGCGGCTGCGGCCTGGTCCTTATGCTGCTCCGGCGGCTTTATCTTTACTTCTTCCTTGTTATCCGGTGATTCAGAACCGTTTTTCATTTCTGTCTCGCTCCTTCCCTCACACCAACCTGACGAATTATGCCCTCAACTCGTACTCCCGTATTAAATAAATTACAAAAAGTAAGAAATTACGGAGTATTATACGGTCTTTATGATTAAATAATGATTATGTTCGGTAAAATTAAACAAGAAAAGCATGTGAGTGTGCGTATTTGAGATAAGAAGTATAGATATAGTATACTGTATACGTATAGCTGACTCTGTAGCAGTTAGAGAGAAGGGGGAAATTGAGGAAAAGAAGGCTTACACTGAATCATATGGGATGGATTTATGAGAGAAAAGAAGGACTCTATGATGGCTTTGCTGCCGTTGGATAGGATGGGCGTTACGCATTCTACAGCCATTGGATATTCGGTGACAGGCTGATAGTAGGTTTTAATATCAGGTGAATTTCCGAAATAAAAAAGTTTTGAAATTCCAAAATATGACTATCGTGTTTTTTTGTTTCTTGAATAAGAGTAAATTTTTGCCAAATTTGGCATTAATAATAGGCTTTAAAATATGGACATTTTTTTCCCAAACTTGGCGGATTACTCATATTTAGGGAATAAAAAACATGATACTCCTATTTTGGAATTTCAAAACGTTTTTGCTCCTATTTAGAGCAATTTCAATTTAATATTTTTATTTGAACTGTTTCCAATCCCAGATCAGATCAGAAAAAATAGAAAAAATAAGAGTAATTGTGTATTTTTAAAGAAAAAACTTACAAAAAAGAAAAAGTGCGGCAATTTTTTAAATACAAGTGTAGCAATCATTAAAATACGGAGGGAGTATTAGAATATTCTACATATATTTATACATATCATTATAGTACTATTCCTTATAATAATATATTAAAAGAGGGAAGAGTTTTAGTGAGAACACATTTTAAAATGAGAACATGTTATAAAGGGAACTTTAATAACAACCTTCTATTTAATTTAATCATTGGTATGATGCACATGAGATACTTTGTGTAATTATTGAAAGTTCAAATGAGATGTTTTTGGTAATTATCGTAAAATGATTACAAAAATGTCACTTTATTAATTCTGATATTTGATTTTATAAATCAATGTTGTAGATTAGAAGTTCTCATTTTTAAATGGGTTCTCATTATAAAGAGTTTTTTTAAGAAACAGGGTTTCTCTCACACAAATGGTCGCATATGTTCATCTAGTAAATTTTAAATAATTGACAATAATGTCTAAAAATGTCAGTAATTAGTTATATTTAGATCATGATATAACAGCATCTCCAATGGTTGCTTCTAAGGACTTGCTTGCAATTTAGAAGCTACTAGCCTACCATTGGAACATTGATCTTCCTTTTGCTTGAGAAAGCAAATTAGCCTAAATGAGCTACTAGTTTGAGAAAGGAGAATTATTAAATATAACATTATAAATAATAAATGAAGAGGAAATAGCTATAGCTAGCCATTTGAGTATATTTCAATTTTACTACAACTGCTTATGTGGCTAGTCAAGCTATGAAGGCAATTAGCTAACCGCTTGAGATGCTCTAATAGTGCTTATATTTTGAAAGTTCTAAACGTTTTACTTTAGGGTAAGCTTATTTGATTTATTTAATCTCTTAGGCTCTCATTTACTCGCTCGTCTATAGAATTGAAGGTGTGAGATTATTGTTTCCATTTTCTCCAAAATTGATTTGTAAGGTGCCCCTGAATTGCTCCAAAGAATTCATTATTTAAACCAATTTTATATTTTTGTTCTCTTTATTCACTTTATCTATTTTTGGTTAAGTTTGTTTGAGTTACTCCAGATCTTGAATTCGAAACAACTTCTCTACATTACAATAATATTTTCACATTGGCTTGTAGGTAAGTGACTTACACACACACACACACATATTGTATCCAAAGCTAATCTGGAAAACAAATGACTTATGTCAGTATATAGTATATCCAAAGTATACATTTTAATTCCAAAAATATCAAAGAGTTTTAATAACAAATGACTTATGTCAGTCATGTAAGGCCAAGGTAACGTTACCATTTTAATCAAAGAGTTTGAAAGAATCCTTGCCTCCTCTATTGATAACCGCAACAATTTGGGGAAAAAATCCATAAAAAATCCATTGATGAAGACAAAGTTGTTCATTGTAAGCATTCAAATATTATATTGTACTTTGTATGGATCTTTTTTCAGGTGGTCGGATTTATGAAACTTTTGACTGTGAGGGTTTTTTGAAGAACAATACTTTGCACACTCAGGGGTGATTTTCTAGGCCATGCATCAGAGAGTGAGAAGAGAGCCACTATTTCATCGAAGGAGGATCTTTGGGACTCTGATACGAATAATGATATCTGCAACAAAGCTTTGTTAGTAACAAGAGATAACTGTCTGCCCACAGTTACACTAATAATGATCGGGGAATTGCCCCGAGTGTTACACTAATCTAGTATATATGTGCGTGTGTGTCTATATATAATACTACCTCCGCCCCTTAAAACTTTGCCAAAGTTGACCGGCACGGAGAATAATAAAGTAAAAACTGTGTGGTTGAGATTTGTGCAGAAAAGAGAGAAATAACAGAAACCACAAAATAATTGATTAAAAGAGAAAGTGACAAAGTTTTTTGGGACGTCCCAAAAAGGAAAGATGGCAAAGTTTTAAGGGACGGAGGGAGTAGACCATAAATTAATTAAATTTAAAAAGAAGATATAAGTTGAAGAAGACGGAGCTTGCAAGATGAGGGATGGTGGAGACGTGGCAAGTGGCAGTGTCAAAGATGGTATATGAAATAAAAGGGATAAGAAGAAGAAGTGAATAGATCACCTAAGGGAAAGAACGCTACTTGATTCAGCGATTAAAAGAAATAAATAAAATGCAATTGTGCGAGATTGGAATTTTTGGGAAATTAACTAATGCGAATAAAGAAATTAAACTAATGGGTTCTTTCTAATTAATGACGAAGGGAACATGGATTGATTTCGGGGTAATCATATTTCTAGTTGATCAGGATTAATCAAATGAAATTAATTTAATTGAGCCTAGCTAATCATTACTAAGTTTTCACCGTTCTCGCGGCGTAGAGTACAATAATTTAGGGGACCAGACTGATCTCTCATGCGACATGATTCTAAACTATTGCCAAGACGAGCGAGCTTACGGCCTCTTAATTGCTACTAATCTCTTAGCGAACGATTAAGTGTGTGTGAAGGTGTCCTAGAATAAATTAGATCTCTCTTAATTTATTCTACCACCAATTGTAATTCTAGTCGCGATTCTAGGTTACAAGAGATATCGATTAAATCGTTCATACACAAATTAAATAAAGATTCATGTAATTTAAACCATCGAGATCATAGCCATACATCAGGAATAACCTCTTCATCAATCCCAAATCTCTAATTACAACTACTCACAACTCATAATTGAATAATCAATAGAATTGGGAAGAATAGAAATAATTGTCATTAATTAAAAAGCTGGAACTTACAAATAAACCCAAAGAATTGAAGAACAAGGCTTGCAAGCTCTCTAAATTTCTTGTTAGGTCTTCTCTCTAAGTTCCATCCCCCCTTTATCACGTAAATGACAACCTTATTTATAGGAAACAATGAATTCAAGAATGACATAACGCACTTTCACATATTTTACTCCCTTATTTTACCTATTTAGAGAGACATGCCACTAACTCCGCCATGATATCATTTTTTTGTATCATGCCTGTCCCAAGCCAGGATAAAGGAGGAGTGTGTTGTGGTAGGCGTGTGATGGCCAACAGTATCACCTAGTCACATCACATGACATGAATCAAAATATGAATATCGCTAATGCTAGGTCATCACCCGTAAATGACGTGTCATCCCTCCGCTTGGGGGTGGTGTCAAATATGCAAGGGCACGCTACACTTCATAGACCTGGGTGTGATGATAAGAATGCTAAGGTTGCTAGGTCGCCACCTGGAAGCGGCGCGTCATCCCATTGCCCGGGGATGATGTCAAATATGCAAGGGCATGGTGGGGTCCGAGATGGGGCTAAGAACAGAAGGTGAAGTGCTAGATTGCGTTTTGGGACATGGAATATTGGGTCTCTTACAGGCAGATCTTTCGAGGTAGTCGAGGTTATGAGGAGAAGGAATATCAGCATTATGTGTGTGCAAGAAACTAAATGGGTTGAAGAGAAAGCACACGAGATTAATCTCGGAGGTTTTAAGTTGTGATATTCGGGGAGAGATAAGACCATAAATGGGGTAGGCATTATTGTGGCGCGTAAATATGTTGAGGATGTGGTAGAAGTCTTCAGGAAGAACGATCGCATCATGAACATTAAATTGGTGATAAGGGGTGAGATTGTGCATGTGGTAAGTGCCTATGCACCACAAGTGGGATTGGATGCATCTACAACTCAACAGTTCTGGGAAGATCTTGAAGACGTGGTGTGACGAGTGCCAATGGGAGATAAGTTGATCATAGGAGGTGACCTTAACGGGCATGTGGGCTCGAGTCGTGATGACTTTGAGAGTATTCATGGCGGACATGGTTTTGGCACTAGGAATGAGGCGGGAAAGAACATTTTGGATTTTGCCTTGACGTATGAGTTGGCTATAATGAACACTTGGTTTAAGAAAAGAGGTTCTCACCTTGTAACCTATAAAAGTGGAGCTAATAGTGCCCAAATTGACTACTTCTTAGTACGGACCACTTGGAGAACTAGCTACACTGATTGTAAGGTTATTCCAGGTGAGAGTGTTGTCACTCAGCATAGGATGTTTGTGCTTGACTTTCGAGGTAAGAACCATAGAAGACAAGTTAAACAACAAGTGGAGCCAAAGATAAAGTGGTGGAGGCTTGAGGGAGATCTTCAACAAAGCTTTACACACAAAATGGTCGGTGACGATGTATGGCGTATTGATAATGAAACACATGTGGATGATGTGTGGTTATCAATGGAGTTGACCATTAACAAAGTGGCAAAGGAGGTACTTGGAGAATCTAAAGGATGTCTGCCACCTAAAAAGGACACGTCTTGGTGGAATGATGAGGTGAAACAAGCCATAAGGAACAAAAGAGATTGCTACAAAAAGTTGGGGACAAGTTCGAGTGATGAGAATATAGAAGCATACAAGAAAGGCTAAAAGACAAGCAAAGAAAGCCGTAAGGGAAGCACAAGGGAATGTGAACAAGGAGTTGTATGAAAAGTTGGACTCTAAGGAAGGAGAACTAGATATTTATAGACTTGCTCATCTTCGTGATCGCAGGACTCAAGATATTTCAAAAGTTAAGTGTGTGAAGGATGTCGATCAGAGGATATTAATGGACGACGGAGAGATAAAAGAGAGGTGGAGGTCATACTTTGATACACTATTCAACGAGAAAAAAACGCAAGATATCAGTGATTTGTTCATACTAGATTGTATGGTAAATCGTGATTTTGTGAGAAGGATCCAAACAACGGAAGTTAAAGAAGCTCTGAGGAAGATGGGACGGAAGAAAGCAGTGGGTCTAGATGGCATACCGATCGAGGCTTGGAGAAGTTTGGGAGAGAGAGGCGTCGAGTGGTTAACAAGTTTCTTCAACATGATTTGGAGAAACAACAAGATGCCAACGAGTTGGAGGAAGAGTACTCTTATCCCCTTATTTAAGAATAAAGGTGATGTACAAGAATGTGCCAACTATCGAGGGATTAAGCTTATGAGTCATACCATGAAACTTTGGGAGCGAGTGATTGAGCAAAGACTTCGAAGAACTGTGAAGATTTCAGAGAGTCAATTCGGTTTTATGCCTGGTCGTTCAACAACTGAGGCCATTCACCTTCTTCGGCAACTTATGGAGAAGTATAGAGACGCTCATAAGGATCGGCATTTGGTGTTCATTGAATTAGAAAAGGCATATGATAGGGTACCTCGGGAAGTTCTTTGGTGGGCCTTAACTAGGAAAGGCATATCACGCAAGTATATCAGCATCATCATGGATATGTACGAGGATTGTACTACAAGTGTCCGTACTAGTGTAGGGAGGACTGAAGAGTTCCCTATTACTATCGGAGTGCACCAACGATCGGCTCTGAGCCCTTTCTTATTTGCCATAGTCATATATGAACTTAAGAAGTCAATTCAAGATGATATACCGTGGTGCATGCTGTTTGCCGACGATATTGTATTGATTGATGAGACGCAATCAGGTCTTAAATCAAAGTTGGAAGTATGGCGACAAACATTGGAGAATAAGGGTTTCAAACTAAGCCGGAGCAAGACAGAGTACATGGAGTGCAAGTTTGGTGGAGGTAGAAGCAGTGGTAATAGCAGAATTACTCTGGATGGTAAGGAGATACCAGCCAGCGATATGTTCTGTTACTTGGGCTCCATAATTCAAAAGCACGGCGAGTTAGATGGAGATGTATCCCATAGAATCAGAAAAGGGTGGATGAAGTGGAAGAGTGTGTCAGGATTTCCTTGCGATCGAAGTATGCCATCTAGACTGAAGGGTAAATTTTATAGGACAACAATTAGGCCTGCATTACTGTATGACATAGAGTGTTGGGCGGTGAAACAATGTCACATTCAAAAAGATGAGTGTGGCAGAGATGCGCATGTTGCGTTGGATGTGTGGGCTTACTAGGAAGGACCGCGTGAGGAATAAGACAATCAGACAAAGGGTGGGAGTAGCACCTATTGAAGACAAGATGCGAGAGTCGCGCCTACGGTGGTTTGGTCATGTGCGTAGAAGACCGAGTGATGCACCTGTCAGACGAGTTGAGATGTGTGGAGAAGAGGCAGGGAAGAGAGGGAGAGGAAGACCCAAACAGACGTGGGTTAGGGGAGTTCGAAGTGATATGCTTCTTCTAGGGTTGGATGAGGGCATGACTTTGGAAAGAGCTAAGTGGAGGGCGGGTATTCATGTAGAGGAGTGATCTCGTATCATCGTTTCCCCTCATCTTTTTTTCCTTGTTTTTTATCCTTATATATAAGCATTATTTGTATCCTTTTTATTTTATCATTGTTATGTATATTCATCTCTTTTTATATTATCTTTTTATAATAGCTTATCTTTTTTATCTTTATTTTCTTTCTTTTCCTTTTGGTGGTGATATCATGTATCGATTCATGTTAGCTGACCCCAATATCTTTTGGGACTAATGCTTGGATGTTGTTATTTTGTTGTAGAGAGACATGCCACTAGTAAAAACATGGCTTATAGTGACATTAAATTAGTGTCACTAAACGATTTAATGACATTCGGAAAGTGTCACAGAAAAGCGGGGCGAGTGACACAAAATTTAGTGTCACTGTTAACAAGTTACTTTTGTGTCACTAAATTATGACATATAAACATCATAGAGATCCGTGATAGATACATAACAAGTATTTTTGTGATTCCAATGCATCATGTTTTTAGTGATATATACATAATAAGAATTTTTGTGATACTAATACATCACAAAATTTAATGACACGCTTGTATCATGAAATTAAAACACACATGTTACATTAATTTTAATATATATATATATATATATATATATATATATATATATACATATAATTTAATTAATACTAATAAATAACTAAAATTTCAAACACTTTTATTTATATATCAAATTTTCACATAAATGTGATTGTACATTATTCATGGGGGCATACCCCCGCCCCGAAATCATAAAAAATCATAACTCAAATGAACAAATCACAAGTTAAAATAAATGAAAGTATGCTAAAATAATGTACCAAAGAAGGAGTAGAGAAAACAATAAACTTCAATAATTTGAAACTAGTCTAGATAGCGATTGTTCCATAGTTCTTCTAGTTGGCCACAACACATTTTCCTTTCAACAGGGGCATGTTCTTGAAGCTCTCAATCGGCAAGGAAAAAAATCCTATATAATTTCCTGCAATTTAAGCTTACTAATCCATATAAAAATATGATATAACAACCATTCATTGAACTTTGTAATAAATGAGAACATTAATCCATATTATACACTCGATATGTTCTTACCATAGAGACACTCATAAAGAGATACGGGAAATTTCAAAATTTTGAAATTTTGAAATATATAGTTAGAGCCATATATGCCACACTTATCTCCCTAAATAAATAGTTTTTAATCAAATATTTGTAATATTGCTTATTGATTGCATACAAGTAGCTAGATTTTTTTTAAAAAAAGAGAAGCCTTACACGATTGACACCACATTTCCAGATAGCAGATCCAACTCTTTTGGCGGTATTGTAGGATTCTTCATATGTCATCCATACATAGGAACTGCCTGTAATTAAAGATTTTTTTTGGATATTGGGTTTGATAGAAAAACTGTATATGAAGAACACACACCTTCTTGTCAACAATCTCACGCCGATCAAGCACGTTGTTTTTTGGATTTTTCTTGACAGAATCACTACAAGAACAAGATGAATACAAGAATTAAGTAAAAACACAATGACTCGAAGTCTATAAGCCAATGCCATTACTCATTCTTAGTACAGCAAAACTAGAAACACATTACAGCTTACAACTACAATTCCAGGTGAAGAAATGTAACTCGTAATTGCCCTAGGGTTACTGTCTTCTCCTTTTGATTTCAAGAACTACCCTTAGTATTGTTTTGTCTGATTTTGTCAATGATACTAGATAATAACTTATCAAACTGAATCACAGGGACAAACAATACAAATAAAAGAGAAATTTACCAATTTGTCATAGTGATCTCCCTTGGTGGTAGTGCAGACCCCACCTCGAGTGCACACATTGAATGAGCATGTACTTCAAAGTCATACATCGAATGAGCATGTACTTCAAAGTCATATAAATGATCAAATCTATTTTACAAAGTTCTACACCCAAATTCCAAACTAAAAAATAAGCACATCCTTAAATATTCTAATGGAAGTTAATAGTAGAGGATTGTAATTAAACAACTAAAATAAGAATATAAACAGAATCACAAATTGTACAAGTCCTTAAATATTTTTTCATTAGTATTGCTTTGTGTGGTTTGAGTGTTAGTTGAGACCTAGAAGAAAGAGGAAATAACAAGAAACCGATCAATAATGATTGATAATTTATTAAATTTATCAAAGAAAATACAAAAGTTGGGGGTGTGGGTTGTTATCTCAGAGCCCAGCCTACATAATTTAGATCCAGTCTCTATTCATGCTTTTCTTTATTTGTGGAGGCTCTTAGTAAGATATTGAAAGAAAAATTAGCGTGTGAAGGGAGAAAACCATATGTCATACCTGTTGGTGGATCCAATTCGCTAGGAACTTGGTGAGGTTTTTATTTGATGCAATAGTTTAGCATTAGAGTTCCCTTTGATTAACTAATGCAGATCACAATCTGAATTGAAAACATCTCATAAAACCACAGGCTATCAGAAAATATTTTAAGGAAGTTAGCAAGTCAACGGTAAAATACAATTGCAGTGTATCAACAGTTAATAAAACCAATCAGGGAATGCTGCTTTTTAAAAAACAGGGTTAAAATTTTAGAAGCAAATGTTTGGCCTTTCTCTACATGATATAAGAATTATACATATATAAGGTCTTGAGTTACACATCCAAAGGCCTTGTACTCTTAGACGTTGAAGCTCTGGCTTACAAGACAATATCAAGGATGAAGAACTTCAAGAAATCAGTACACCTTGTTGTGCAATCCTTTGCCTTATTTTTAGACGTAATTGGTGTTTGGGCTGTTTTATGACAAGGGCATTGACAATTTTTACGGTCTTCATTCTTGGTTGGGGCTAGTCTGCCTCTTTCTATTTGGTTTCCAGTGGGCACTTGGGTTTTCAAAATTCTGGTATCCTGGTGGATCAAGGAACAGTAGGGCAAGTCTATTACCATGGCATGTTTTCTTTGGAATATACATATATGCCCTTGCTGTTGCTACTTGCACTACTGGGCTACTAGAGAAAGTCACATTTCTTCAAACCAATCACATAATATCACGCTATTCCACAGAAGCATTGGTGGTTAATTCTTTGGGCATGTTGATTGTTGTTTTGGGAGGGTTGGTCACTCTTGCTGTTGCATCTCCTGCGAATGGACATGCCGACATCCTTTGGGAACACTAGAAGAGTAACCTACCTGACTTCATGTATTCAATACTAGAACCTGATAACTCCTTGATCAAATAGCTCAATTTTTTGAAGCTAAAAAAGCAACAATTAATTAGATATCACTGCACATGTACCCATTTTAAAAAACTACTCTATATATTTCATTAGAAAGAAAATAATTGAAACACTCAATAGAATACACAACTCAGACAGAGTCATAAATTTAGGTGAAACCTCAACTTCTTTGCTCTTAATTTAGAGAGTATAGCTTATTTCTGATCTCTTCCTGGATCTCATTGTTCATCACTTCATCCTATTGCATTAGCATATTACTTTTGAAATAGAATAAAGTGAAGTAGGAAAATCATGAATAAGCTTAGAAAATAGAGGAAATATGAAATATTACCTCTTAGACATACCCATAAACACCTTCAAGGCTTCATCCTTGAAAACCCCTCTTCAGCAAGAGTAAAGTCCTTGTAAATCTTTTCTTCTAATGTATAATTTTCTTCACCTTGAACATGACACTTACAATATGGAAACATATATAAAAGTTAGGAAACCAAATACATGAACAAATCTGGGCATTATATTCTAGAAACGAACTAGATTCAAATGTGTGAGGTTTGATTCTGTTGATTTGTTGTTTTTAGTCGAAGTCCTCTCCAGAATTCAATTCCGAGCTTATATTTAAAAGTAGAGTGATAAATTACGTCCATAAACTTAAGAAACGAACTGAACAAACGAATTGGAAAAAAGCAAATGTTACTGTTCGTATAGAAATTGAATTGGACGTTTATCTCTGGATTTCAAGAGTTGTCTGGTGTTCGTCAACTCAGGACACACCTACCTGACCCTGTGTCGGAGATGGGAGAGCTTGGGTTGCCGCAAATCAAAATGTTGATTGTGTAGGTCACTATTCATCGCCGTTTTTCTAATTTGCCGATGTCGGACAAGAAAATTCGAGGCAGTGCACCTTACCGGTGAAGTAAATGTAGAAAAAGCTCAAGGTCATCGCCGGCTCGTCGCTGCTACCTTCGATGTAGTCGATTAAGGACTTACGGCCGCAGCTTTGCTCTTCGTCAAGGGAGAGTGCAGACCAAGGTTAAGGGGGATAAGGGTTGGGCTTATAGATTTACAAATATAAACTAAAAATTTAGAAAATAGACCCCATTTTAAAAAAACATTTTAATAAATTATGAGTATGACCCCGTTTTTTAGCTTGAGCATCACTATGAATGGTGATATTATTGTGTCAGAAATCAATGATACTTGATGGAGTATATAGACTCGGATCCCCGGGTCTCATGACTATTGGGCCAGGACAGCGGCCCACACACGCTTATTAGATGTCTTTTGTATTACTGTACTGTTCATATATCATCTGTATGTATTAGATTAATCTTTTATGTAGTTGGGCCTATCTAGCCCATATTAGCGGCCCGACCCATTATTTCTCTATTTATACTCCTTTGGGAGACTTGTAACCCTAGTTCTTAATTCATACTCCATACAAATATTCTACTATTCATCATCTTCTTCCCTTTCTTAAGCTCAATCTCTCATTTTAATATATGTTTGGATCCCAATAATCCATCAATGGTGCTTTCATTGAGAGTTTGAGCAAATCAATTGAGATTCCTCTCCACAAACATCAAGAAATTCATTCGAATCACACGAAATCAACCAAAAATGTCAAGAACAGCAAAAAAAACAGGAAATGAAATATCTGGGCCACCGGGCATTGCCGCGCCCCATCCGCCATCTGCCAGTGCACCTGCTAAAATTTGGGACGAAGAACTGATTTTCAGCAACAACAACAACAACAAAAAAATGATTTGGGGAGATCTGGAACTTCATCAAAAATGAGAGCCGCCGTCAACGCCCATGCTGCGACGCTGGAGCTGCCTTCAACGTCAACGTTGTGACGTACTGCATCAGTTGAAGTTTGGTGCTTCCGAAGCTTGCTTCACCCATTAGTCGTGAGACATCTAATAAGCGTGTGTGGGCCGTTATCTTGGCCCAAAAGTTACAGACCCCATGGTCATACATCTGTCAGTCATCTTTATTTGATGACCTAAACATCGCATTATGGACGGTCATTGGACCTATCTCTTGGTCATCTTTATTTGATTGCTGGGACTAGTTATCATGCCGAGCTGCTCACATCTAGAAACTGGTATCGGCCATCCCTTTAGCAGACGGACACAGTTGAAGCTCCACACCTAGGCCGAAGGGCTCACCCCTTTTGCTTCATTTTGGGGGCATCCGGTGTACTTTTTCCCTCATTAGGATTTTTTCCCACTGGGTTTTTTCGTAATGAGGTTTTTAACGAGGCATCTCCCCATTGTGGATCAAAAGGTGACAACCCTCGGCCCCCTATTGAAGACATCACGAGACATGCACTACTCTACTCCTCTTCTCCTCACTACATTCACCTCAAGGAGTGGGGGACTGGAATAGCGGGGGACTTAGCGCCTCCGTTAACCAAAGAAGCAGAAATTCAAAAATTTTCACGAAGTTTACTAATCAGACGATAGATCAGCACACAGTTCTACTCCCTTTCGCCTCGAGTACTCTCGACTCAAGGAGTGGGGGACTCCTGATGGAGTATATAGACTTGTCCCCCGAGTCTCACGACTATTGGGCCCGGACAGCGGCCCACACACGCTTATCAGATGTCTTTTGTATTATTGTACTATTCATATATCATCTGTATGTATTAGATTAGTCTTTTATGTAGTTGGGCCTATCGGGCCCATATTAGCGGCCTGGCCCATTATTTCTCTATTTATACTCCTTTGGGAGACTTGTAACCCTAGTTCTTAATTCATACTCCATACAAATATTCTACTATTCATCATCTTCCTCCCTCTCTTGAGCTCAATCTCTCATTTTAATATATGTTTGGATCCCAATAATCCATCAATACTTATGTGTAAACTTTTAATTATATCGTCAATTTTTGACACTAAATCAAATAGTGTCATTAACGAAGTGTCACTATAAGGCAGTTTTCTAGTAGTGACAATTCGTCTAAAAAATGCAATTCGTGTAAATTTAAAATTCTAATTGTTGATGAAGATGAAGGGACCACTGATAAGACTCAGAATGTTGTATTCAAAGAAGTGTTCAACAATGCTTAGGTTTACATTAAATGCATATTTACAATGTGATGGTTTCAGCGTATTTGTTGGATGTTTTTTATCTTTTAAGTAATGCTTAGTACTCTCATTTTGACCATAATATTATAAGTGTGTTTCGTTTATAGTTTTGATGTATATCAGTATTACATGAAGATAGATGATGTCATCAATTGAGAGTGTTATTTGAATCACTAAGTACACATAAATTTGAAAGAAAAATTCTGAGACCGTGCATCACACGGGTGAGTTTACTAATTAATTAAAAAGTAGGAACTTACAAATAAACCCAAAGAATTGAAGAACAAGGCTTGAAAGCTCTCAAAATTTCGTGTTAGGTCTTCTCTCTAAGTTCCATCCCCCCTTTATCAGGTAAATGACAACCTTATTTATAGGAAACAACGAATTCAGGTTGAATTAGGACTGAAACGGGGCATGCACGGCGCCCACGCACGGAATGCATGGCGTCCGTGCGTCCGACATACCCGCACGTCAAAACGTGCCATGCACGCGTGCATCCCCCCACGCACGGCCGTGCGTGGCTGCCAGTGGATGTTGCGGATTCTCGCCTCAGACGCATGATCGTGTGTTCCCCAACGTACGACATGATTCAAACTTCCACATTTCACTTTGTTTCCTTCATGAAAGTTGTAGATAATGAAGTCCTCTATTCATCACAACTTTCCGAATGGGATTTGAATCATCCAATCAAAAGATATGATCAAAATGATGGAAGGTATCATTCTGAAATCTCAACTGCAATCATCTGACTTCATCATCTGTTTTCACTTTTCTCCTCTCAGATTCTCGAAATGGTGTCTATATATGATTTGTAACCCTTGAAGTTAGCTTTCATACGGGACTTGAATCGTGTCCTTTGGATGCTTCTAAAAATAGATATGCTTGAACGATTGACAGAAGATCATCTCGATTGTCGTTTTCAAGCTCTATTCGTCTTCTTTTGATCCCGTAGCCAATCCTAGAGCTCTTTTGTCTTCAAATCTTCACCGTGAACCTCCCGGTGACCTCCAAAGCTCTCAATTCACTCTTGAATGCTTCTCGAATCACCCCGTTTGCTCCTCAAGCGCCGGTGCCGAACTCTAAGTTCCTGATTTTTTACTTCAAACAACATAAAACTTGAACCGACGCCTGGTACACATAACTTGAGCTAAAAATGAGATTTGCGACACCTAAGAGTTAGGAAAAACATCAAAAACTGATCTCAACACGCATCAAATGCGTGTTGTAATACGAACATATCAGATTCCCCCACACTTAAGCTTTTGCTTGTCCTCAAGCAAACTGAACAACTGGACTTACGATAATCACCACACGGAATCAAAACAATTAGCATGCACATGTAGTCAAAGGGATATTCAGAGAACAGAAAAGACTTAATCAAGAAAATTCTTTCCTAAACTACATCTTTGTACGCTGGCTAACTTAAATGACAAAATTATTCGCAACATCCTTGAAGTAATGGCAGCAAATACTAGTGAATTAGCTACTGATCAGAAGGACTTGTGAAAGTGGTGGTGAATGGTGGATGGTAAAGAATAAAAGTCCCTTTCATTGAGAGTTTTGGAATAATCTGACAAAGACGTAATGCGTTCAGGAATTTCAGGGCTATTTTTTGGATTAAGGAGTTCATTAGGATACAAATTAGGAACTATCATTTAAACATATGCAAAGAGTAGACATGATGTACAACTAAGCTAAACCGCCGCGACACGTTTGTGATTTGACGTATACTTGAAGTACGCGAAGGACTAAAGCTAATTTTATTGCAATAGCCTCCAAGTTCAATTAATTAAGTTCAGTTTTCATTGTCACGTTGGCACGAGAACACCATTTCCTTT